TTTTAGTAGAGACAGGGTTTCACCGTGTTGACCAGGATGGTCTCGATCTCTTGACCTCGTGATCCACCCACCTCGGCCTCCCAAAGTGCTGGGATTACAGGCGTGAGCCACCGTGCCTGGCAATGTTCACCTTTTAAACACCAAATTAGAAATACAAAAATACCAAGAACCAGTACTAGTGATGATTTTAAAGCCTCTTCTATCTCTAAACCACGTGTCCATAGCTGAAGTTGTGAGTCACACAACACTTTGAAGAGAGACAGAAAGACAGGTGTTTAAAGTAGATACTGAAAGTTTTTTCAACGTGTCACAACAAGGCTCCATGACAGGCCCCCCTGGGGTATTTATATGGAGTCCTCCAGGGCAGGGAGGGTTTCCAGCACCTGCGGATTCCCATGACTCAGCGTGGAGCCCAGCATGGAGTTCATATGACTGAGTGGACTCATCCCCTCTGGGGCTCAGCATCCCCATCTTTTGTGTGTGTGTGCGTGTAACAGAGTTTTGCTCTTGTTGCCCAGGCTGAAGTGCAACGATGCAACTCTGCCTTACTGCAACCTCTACCTCCCGGGTTCAAGCAATTCTCCTGTCTCAGCCTCCTGAGTAGCTGGGATCACAGGCGCCCACCACTACACCTGGCTAATTTTTGGTAGTTTTAGTAGAGATGGGGTTTCACCATGTTGGCCAGGCTGGTCTCGAACTCCTGACCTCAGGTGATCTGCCTACCTTGGCCTCCCAAAGTGCTGGGATTACAGGTGTGAGCTGGTGTGCCTGGCAGCATCTCCATCTTCTTAGCGAACATAAAACACAACATATCTGTGGTATAAGAAGTATCCACAGGAAACAAACTAATATAGGATACATCCTTGCCTTCTTCCCAGAGCTACCATGGTGAGAGTCACATGCGGGATATACAGGAAACTCTGACACTGTCCAATTCTGTCCATTGTGGGGTGAGAGAATCAAAGAAGAGGAGATGTTCTTGCTCATTAAAGCAAGTGGAAAAAAAAAAAGGTGGAGTTGAACTAGGACCCTTCTCTCCACCCAGTGGTTTCTCATGTGGGAACAGCAGGTGCCTCTGACAGATGCAGAGCAGCAGGCCCAGCATCGATAGTCACTGGCCACCCCCCCAACACTGCCACCACTGCATCTGTGCTGCTAAGAGAAAGGGACCTGGAAAGGACAGTCAGAGGCTCAGAGGTCAGCCTAACATCTGGGGTTGGGAGGTGAAGAACAGTTCATTAAAAGGAGTTTTCAAGTGAAAAGGCAGTGGAGGTGAGACGAAGAGACCACAGGTCAATAAAAGTGTGAAGAAAAGGAAATGTAAGAGGGCTGAAAGCCAAAAGGGGGACAAAAGGCATACGAAATGATGTGACACCTGAAAGCTGCCAGAGTTTCCTGGTTATATCACTATATTCATTCAGGGTTGAAGACAATTCTTACTACATTTTTTTTTGTGTGAGACGGAGTTTTGCTTTTGTTGCCCAGGATGGAGTGCAATAGTGTGATCTCGGCTCACTGCAATCTCTGCCTTCGGGATTCAAGCGATTCTCCTGCCTCAGCCTCCTGAGTAGCTGGGATTACAGGCATATGCCACCATGCCTGGCTAATTTTGTATTTTTAGTAGAGATGGAGTTTCACCATGTTGGCCAGGCTGGTCTCCTCAGGTGATCCACCCGCCTCAGCCTCCCAAAGTGCTGGGATTACAGACATGAGCCACCAAACCTGGCTCTTACTACATGATAAATGTAATGAGCATTATCTAGAACTTGAGGAAACTGCAAAGAATTGAGCACTCATGTGAACAACTAAATAGGACTGAACCTAAGCTGCCTAGAAAGTGACTTCTCCTATTTTTCAAGATGATCATGTAGCGTGCTTATTCCTCCTTCATTAAGTATATAGCATTGTCCCCATGTGGCAGGCATGGCCTCCACAGCCAGGGGCCTGACATCTGAGAGAGTCTCATTCTCTCAGTCAGTCATCATTTAATATGACAACCAATTCATGTTTGCTTACAACATTAACTATCATAAGTGTGTGTTTCCCTCCACCCACCCTTTTTTCTTTTTTTGGTCTCTTGACTATCAACCGTCTCTATATTAAGAAATTACTCTTGCCTATTTATTTATTGAGATGGAGTCTTGCTCTGACACCCATGCTGGAATGCAGTGGCGCCATCTCACCTCACTGCAACCTCTGCTTCCCAGGTTCAAGTGATTCTCCAGCCTCAGCCCCCCCAAGTAGCTGGGACTACAGGCACCTGCCACCATGCCCAGCTAATTTTTTGTATTTTTAGTAGAGGCAGGGTTTCACCATGTTGGCCAGACTGGTCTCAAACTCCCGCCCTCAGGTGATCCTCCTGCCTCGGCCTCCCAAAGTGCTGTGATTACAGGCATTAGCTACTGCCCCCAACCTTCTTGCCCCTTTATTTTATTTTATTTTATTTATTTTTAGACAGATCTCCCTCTGCTGCCCAGGCTAGAGTACAGTGGCATGATTGTGGCTCACTGCAACCTCAGCCTCCCCAGCTCAGGTGATCCTCCCTCTTCAGCCTCCTAAGCAGCTGGGACTACAGGTATACGCCACCACAAGTGGCTAAGTTTTGTATTTTTGATAGAGATGGAGTTTCGCCATGTTGCCCAGACTGGTCTTGAACTCCTGGGCTTAAGTGATCCATCTGCCTCGGTCTCCCAAAGTGCTGGGATTACAGATGTGAGCCATTGTGCCTGGACTAATTTTCATATACTTTATTTTGTGAAACTTAATTGTTGAGGTCTACATCTAAATCTGTCCAGTGGCTCTGGTCCGTCAAACTACAGAGCTCAGAACTTGCTGTAATAATTGAGATAGACACCGATGCACCAGAAGGGAACACTGCCCCCTGCGTGCCCCATGGAGTGCCATCCTCCCCTGTACCTCACCAGCCTGGTCCCATTCCACCTATTAGACCACACATCCCCTACAGCAGGGCAGCGTGTATTCACACTCCCTCTCCGGTTTCTGGGCAGCTCTAAGCACAAAGGCAGATAACTGATCCCTTAACTTACACTCAACTATGCCCCTTCAAGGAAGATCATGGAGAATTTCAAGTCAATAAGCTTACACTTTCCATTTACATCTTTGTTTAAGTGAAGTATAAAAAACTCTTCTATAGTTAGCAGATCATTTATGAGCAGAGTGGGCATTCAAATACAATTTTATTTTACTACTCACCCACAGATAAAATTTCCCTTAATGAGAAGGGTTACTGCTTTCTTAATTCAACATACTACCAAGATATAGAAGAAAAACTACCCCAGCCGATTATGACCACTCCATCCCAAACACAAATCAAGTGACAGCAACTCTCCTGTCAAACTGCAGTTGGCTTTCTTGGGATTTCAACTTACCGACTTCACAGCTGCAAGCAGGCTAATAATCCTCCCATTAAGACTGTGTCCATTTGCAACAATGTCACCCAACGAATAATAATCACCAGACTCTTTAACGGGTAAATGTATCAAAGAAAGTAACTTTGTGTCCACTTCATAACTGGAACAAACTTTTACTGTTGAGTGATTCTCACTGAGAAATAGTTTACAATTGCTAAATTGCAAAAACACAAGAAAGTTATATGAAAATGATTTTTGGATTGTTAAAATTTTCCAAGTTCACATTTAAATTACATTTTTTGGTTGAAATTTAGACAATATTAAGAAATGTATAATTTCTACTCTTAGAAATATTGAATAATATGGCAAAATATTTTTTGTTTACAATGCGCTTTCATTAAGGAAATGTTTTGAGGATTGACACATGTCGGAGTTCTAAGCATACCACTTATCTGATCTTGCCCAAGACTCTATGTTTGTTTCCTTTTCCAAAAAAATCAGAGTATAAAGCACTCCAAAACTTTCAGGGGTTATACAAACCCAAGGACTAGTGTTTCTCTCTCTTGTGGTCCTGGCTGCTCTGCCTAAGTGCCTCAGGTCAGGGACTGTGTTTTCTAGCCCTGCTGCACTCTGCATGGAGCAGGTGGGGACACTGGCACAGTGAGCCTGAACTGAAGAGCTCTGCCTCCTGCACCCAGTCCCTCCCAGCCCTCAGCTTCCACGCCCCAGCAGCTCTCTAACACAGGGTCCTCCCTGCTCTGCCTCACTTACCTACCTCATCACTTCTCTTCCACGCCACTGCCCTGCTCTCCTAACTAAGCTTCACTCCTCACAGTCCATCCTCCACAAGCAAAGTGATCTTCCTAAATCACAAATATGGAAATATTATTTCCCGGCTCAAAGACTGTCCTGTGGCTACCAGTCACAGAGGAAATAACTCAGTATGAAAGCAAAGCTGTCTGTGAAGTATCTCTGCTTCTGCCTTAAGCTTCTCCCCCTGTCCATGCCCTGCATTCAGCCATATCGGACTACTACATTATGAAACTGGTATTTCTAGATGAAAAATAGTAAACCATCAGCAGTTTCAAATGGCTCAACCTAACATTAACTGTTCTGGAAAAGATAGGAGGTTTCCTTTTTCTTCCCTCTACCAGGAATGTTCTTCTCTCCATCTATCCATCTGTCCATCCATTCCATGAATACTGAGAATCTGTTATATGCCAGACCCTATACTAGGCACAAGGGATCCGGTGGTGAAGAAGGCAGACAAGATCTTCAATCTCATGAGGCTCACGTAAGTAAGGGGGAGACCCGAGAACAGTGAATCAAACAATTTCAGACGGTGACTTGGGTTAGGTGACAACAGCCAAGGCAAGTCCCAGTAGTTGACCGTTAGCGCTACCACAAACAGAGCAGATGGGGAGGGTTGAAGAAGGTGACATTTTGTGATATTGTGCTGGCCTAGAGCCAGAACCTGAGCAAGGCCATTTTTATAAAATGCAAAACTTTTTTTTTTTTTTTTTTTTTGAGGGAGTTTCACTCTTGTTACCCAGGCTGGAGTGCAATGGCACGATCTCGGCTCACCGCAACCTCCGCCTCCTGGGTTCAGGCAATTCTCCTGCCTCAACCTCCTCAGTAGCTGGGATTACAGGCACGCACCACCATGCCCAGCTAATGTTTTGTATTTTTAGTAGAGACGGGGTTTCACCATGTTGACCAGGATGGTCTCGATCTCTTGACCTTGTGATCCACCCACCTCGGCCTGCCAAAGTGCTGGGATTACAGGCGTGAGCCACCACGCCCGGCCCGCTGCTTACCTTTTCTTATCAGTAATTGCTAAAATCTGTGACTTCTATCACCACCCAGACAATGTGTAAACAAATGTATATCTTGACTTCTGTAAACCACTGAAGTAACAAACGGAATGACAAAAGTCCCTTGGACCTTGGTGGAGACCCCGGCCCTCGTCTCTGCCCAGGAGGTGAATCACAGAATCCCCTAGCCCTTGGAATGTCCGAAACCTTTTCATCCCCATCCCCGCCCCTCACCCCCACTCCCAAGGTGGTTTTTCGGGTATAAAAAGTCTTGGCACCCTCCTTTTGACGCCACAGGTTGGAGAAACGTGAGTCCTCTGTGGTCACCGGCGTAATAAATGACCCTGCAATCTGGCATACTTTTGTCTTGGTGCTAACTTTCTACGCTCGGTCCCATACAACAATTTAAGCTGAGAGTCATTAACCCAAAGAAGCAAATACCTGTATTCAGACAGATGGGAGAAGAATGTTCTATGCAGAGAGGGACTAGAAAATACAAAAGTTCTTAGTGCAGAATGAGTTCAGGATGTTCATGAAATGTAAAGAAATTCACTGTGGCTGCAGAGAAATGAGGCTTGAGAGTCTGGTGTAAGATGAGGTTAGAAAAGGGAGGGGGTCACAAATGATGTGAGGGTAAATGCAGTAGACTGCTGTGCCTGCCAACAGCCCTTTACAGGCCAGTACAGGAGCACAGCTACATCCTCCTCTCCAGAACTGCCAAGCCTGCCTTCGAGCGTATCCCCATGCCACTCTGAGGGTTCGGGGAGTGGATGGACTACAGCCAGGGCACTGTTCTAAGGGGGCCACTCATACTCCAGAACTCTGTCCTGGGTTCCTGCTGAGGCTCCAGGTGAACTCACTTCTCTGCTCAGCTTCGTCTCCACCTCTCATTCCAGGGTTCCCCTGAGAGCTCTCCCTCAATGAAATAATCACATAAGAGTCCTCCTCTCAAGCTCTGCTTCCAGGGAACATGACCTAAGATGGTAAGGTTGTGAGTAGAGGGATACCTTGATATGAAAAAAGAAATATGCAATTTCCAAAGTTTATCTTTTCTTCTCATTCTGTTTTAACCTAACAGTCAAATTTTTGTAAATTTAAGAATATGAATCAAAGTACTGAAAGCAAAGCCATTTTTTATGTGACTCTGTATCAAAGTAAATTATATCATAATCAAAGATGAGTTTTGTAAGAGAAAATTAAATTCACTTTTACTGGAATAGAAATAGAACACTTCTGGTAAGATCTCTGCTAATCTGATACAAAATTATTAGTAATGATCATTCTGGCACAATCTCTGTGCCAGAGACTGATCTCTGTGCTAGACAGATACTTACCTAGGAGTTGCAGGGCTGAATTTTTCTTCTCTTTCTATATCCTTTCTTTGGATCAGAGGATTTTCAATTATCACTAAAACAGAGAGCAAAGTATGATGACATCGCAAAGTAACAAGATAAACACATTAAAATCCTGTTTAATTTATAATCATGATAACTTTAGACTTTAAAAATTTCATACCTCATTCATCTTTCCACCATCAACATATAACATATTTTGATACTGAAATGTCAAAATTGAAATCTTTATCTCCATATATAATTAATATATTTATATATAACTAATAATTTATTCAACGGATGTCTATAAATATACTGGCCCCTATGAAATTTGGAAAGCTTTCCGCCTTCACAGTCCCTGTGTTCAATGACTCTGTTATTCAACTAGAGAGATATCATACATTGTCCTGAAAGTTAATAATACAAGGCAATATATCATTAGGGTCTAAATACCTGGTATGGAGAGTGGGCTGCTCGAGACCACAGTATTGAAGAGGAGTGTTTTCATTACCTGCATTACTCTCTTTTCTCTTTTTCTACCGTGAAGGAGAGCTAGTACACAGGCTTTCTGGTTCCTTTTATTAGGCTAAGGCTGTCATCTGTTGAGTGACTAAGTTCCACACTTCATACGAGGTACGTTATCTTTTGTGTGTGTGTGTGTGTGTGAGTGAGAGAGAGTGAGAGAGAGAGAGAGAGAGAGAGAGAGAGAGAGAGAGAGAGTCTTGCTCTGTTGCCCAGTCTGGAGTGCAGTGGCACGATATTGGCTCACTGCAGCCTCCACCTCCCAGGTTCCAGGGCTCTCCTGCCTCAGCCTCCTGAGTTGCTGGGATTACAGGTGCATGCCACCACACCTGGCAATTTTTTTTTTTTTTTTTTGTATTTTCAGTAGAGACAGGGTTTCACCATGTTGGTCAGGCTGGTCTTGAACTCCTGACCTCAGGTGATCCACCCGCCTCGGCCTCCCAAAGTGCTGGGATGAGCCATTGCACCCGGCCACACTATCTCATTTAATATTTACCAGAACCTAATGAGGTATTATTTCATAGTTGAGACCCAACAAGATTAAGAAATGTTCTCAAAGCCATTTGTAAGTAAATGTTGAAACTGGGATTTGAATCTAGACCTCTGTGTTTTCAAAGTCTACTGTTCTTTCTACTATACTAGTTTGTACTGTCAAAGGGATACTGGGTGAGTAGCAAATCCAAAGGATTTGGTATTTCAGCCAAAGGTAAAGTTCCTTAAAATCCCATTAACAATTCAAATATCAACTTTTATCAAAATCGATTCAGTGTCCCTATTATATGTCTAAAGAAAGATAACCAATTATAACAATAATAAGGGTTGATGCAAATTTAAATATGTAATAAACCAAAGACAGTAAGGTTACCTAGTAAAAATATAACTATCATTTTGTATGCTTCAAGTAACGTTCTGAATGCCTTGCATTGCAGTTTATTTATTTATTTATTTTTGAGACAGGATCTCACTCTGTGACCCAGGATGGAGTGCAGTGGCACTATATTGGCTCACTGAAATTTCCACTTCCCAAGCTCAACCCATCGTCCCCCTTCAGCCTCCTCAGTAGCTGGTACTACAGGCCCACGCCACAAAACCTGGCTAATTTTTTGTACTGTTTATAGAAATGGTTTTGCCATGTTGCTCAGGCTGCTCTCAAACTCCTGAACTCACATAATCCACCTGCCTCGGCCTCCCAAAGTGTTGGGATTACAGTTGTGAGCCACTGCACCCCACTGCATTATACTCTTAACACCTGGCTTTTTCTGATAACTTTTTTTTTCTGTTGAGATCGAGTCTTGCTCTATTGCCATGTGGGAGTGCAGTGGCGCGATCCCAGTTCACTGCAACTTCCATTTTCCAGTTTCAAGCAATTCTCCTGCCTCAGCCACGTGAGCAGCTGGGAAGCACCCCCAAGCCCGGCTAATTTTTTGTATTTTTAGTAGAGATGGGGTTTCACCATGTAGGCCAGGATGGTCTCAATCTCTTGACCTCATGATCTGCCTGCCTCGGACTCCCAAAGTGCTGGGATTACAGGCATGAGCCACTGTGCCCGGCCCCTGATAAGGTTCTTGAGAATTACAAATTGTGTCTCATTTCAGCTGCCTCAGTATGTAGGGCTGAGGCCCCACAGGGTCGTGGGGTGTCCCTTACGCTGTGCTGAGGAGCAGGATCTGAGAAATAAAGAGACAGGACACCGAAGTACAAGGAAAATGCAGCTGAGCTCAGGGGGGCCACCCCACCTATAAGTGGAGTCAAGTGAGGCCCCGAATGTCCAGAAGCATCAGTATTTATTGTGTATAGGTTAGGGGGCAGGGCAGTGACTGAAGTCATCTTTAAGGATAGTGATAGGGTTGTGAACAATAAACACAGAGTCCACCCCCATTAGGTCACCTAAGCTAGGAGATGGACAGTGGGCAGCAAGGGGTCCATTCCCATTAGGTCATCAAGGCAAGGAGGTGAGCTGTGTGCAGTAGGGGTTCCACCCCCATTACGTCACTGAGGCATGGAGGTGGGCCATGTGCAGGGAAGAGGTGCAGTCTGCGATACCTCTATCTTTGGGCAAGCTACTTCTAAGATGATTTACGGGAAGATGCTTTAAGTCACACAGCAGTGACAGAGCTGTCAGAGTTACCGCCACCTGCTGGCAGCGTTCAATGAGTTCTATAGGGGAATGCTTTTTGAGTGAGTACAGTAACAAGAGCTGATAAAGTTCACAGTCACCAAGGTGCGATTACCCGGAGGGGTTTTGAGCCCTCGGATGCTCAAGGGATTGCCGGTCTGAGGTTAGCCCTCCACAAGAACTGGAGCAAGGTCCTACAACTCCTTTATCAGGAGGAGTGGCTCTCACCTCAAGCCTGCCATACAGCAGGTATCTTTCCGATAGTGAATGCTGCCGCCTGGGCCATGGATTCTGGTCCTGGTATAACTGTTTTCCCTTAAATCATGTTCTGCACTGTGTCTGCTCCAGACATTCCTCCAACTATAAGCTGCTTATTCCTTAATTCATGCTCTGTACTGTGTCTACTCTAGGCATTCCTCCGATTGTGAACTAAGATATAGTTCATATCTTAGTTAAATAACTTTAACTAAGTTATTTCCCTAAATAACTTAGGGAAATAACTGAGTGGTAACACTATAAAC